ATGACATGTCATCGTGTTCCCGTTAGTTAACAGCACACGTCACTAGATTTTTAATGGAAGGACCAAATCGGGGTAAAAATGGTAAACAGTAGGGACCAAATCAGGGATTTTTTTAGTTTAGGGATCAAATCAAGGGTCCGTACAGTAGTTTAGGGACCAAAAAGGGGTTTTAACCAATATATATTAGCTGAAGGTGTGACGTTTAAGTTCCATCCATACGTTTAACAAAATATATTAAATAGATAAGTAAGAAATTCTTATTTAATGTACTAGTCCTTCTATCCTAAACTAATTACCTCTATCAAAGAAAATTAATTATCTGTTTTTATTTTTTTAAATTAAAAATTAATTGTGAACAATTCATATATTTACTTATATTATTATTAAAAAAAGTTAAAAGATAAAGATTTATTTTTTATAATAAGATAATTAATTAAAATAGTTGAATAATGATAGAGTTAAATAAAAAATTATTTATTTACTTAAAAAATGATAATTAATTTAAAATAAACTTAAAATAAAAAAAAATATGACAATTATTTTAAAATAGAAGGAATACTAATTAATACCAACCATCCCCACAAAGAAATATGGAAACTAAAACTATTTAATTTTGTTTAACAATAGTTTAATTAGTATATCATTGACATTAAAAATTCTAAAATTTTTATAATTTATCACATTAATGAACTTTAAGGTCAAATCGTTGTATCTAATCTTGTTTTTTTTTTCATCAAAAGTAGAAACTCAAAGTTATATAAACTCATAAGTCATAAGAAAAAAATGCTACATGCCTTTGGCCTCTGTTAAATCGAGTGTACACTGTTTATGAATAAAAAATTAATAAAAGAAAGAAATTTAGCACTCCACCAAATTGCAATAGCATTTTATACTCATATTATTATAAAATACTTACTTTATATGAAAGGAATATTGCAACTTGTAATTTAGTTCTCCAATCCGATTTTGAATTTCTAAAGTGGTGGTATTATTTTTATGATTAGGTAAATCCTTACGGATACGTCGCGTCTGCATGTGTTTTGGACGCGAATATCTCATTGCATGTGCAGAATAAGACCCATGAAATTTTAGGGCTACTCTTTTGTTAAAGGTATATTCCATCAAACTTAAGTTGACAGTAACTTTACTGGTCCTAATTAAGGAATAATTAATGGTATAATTAGGGAAAAAATCAAGGAATTCATTTCTTTTTTGGTTCTTTTCGGTAAAACATCATTGCCTAACTACAAAAAGAAGGAAAGAAAGAAAGTATTTCCAACAGGGGCGGAGGCAAAAATTTTTTTCGGGGGAGAAAAATACTAAAATTTTCAAAGTTCAAGGGAGGCTAAATAATTTTTTCATATATTAATTTGCAAGATTTTCAAATTTCAAGGGGGCGAGCGCCCCCCCTTTCCCCCCTGGCTCCGCCACTGATTTCCAAGATAGGTATTGTAAGAAACTAAAGCCAAGTGACCTAACGTTAGCTTACATTCAAGTGAAGTATGATCAAATTGATTGAATGTTGATTTGATGTGGTTAAATGAGGTGAAAACGTTGGTGTTAGTCACCTTAGTGCGAAGTGTGCACCCTCCCTTGGGTACAAGGATAACTAGTTCACCACAGGCTGGATAAGCACATCCTACAAATCTAAAAAAGGGAAAAAAAGGGAAGAAGATACTAAAGAACATATATATCAGCAATTACTAATTAATGGCAATTTTATTCAATAGAAATAAGAAATTTTAAATTTAAATTATATAATATATAATTAAAGTGAATTAAATGATAA